ACAATCAGACCTAGAAACGTAATGCTGGATTGCTCGAAACAACATTTATCCACCTTGGCATATAACCCATGCTGCCGCAACCGCCCCCCCAACACCTTTGCCACATGCATCCTATGATCCTCCAGGGAGGGTGAGAAAATCAGTATGTCGTCCAGATAGACGATAACAAAGATATCCAAAAAATCCCTGAAGATGTCGTTCACGAAGTGTTGGAAGGTGGCTGGTTGGAAGCCCAAATGGCATGACCAAGTATTCAAAATGGCCAAACCGGGTACGGAATGCCGTTTCCCACTCGTCCCCCTCCCTTATGCGGACCAGGTTATAGGCCCCCCTTAAATCAAGTTTCGTGAATATAACCGCAGCCTTTAGGCTCTGAAACAACTCTGGTACCAATGGCAACGGGTAACGATTTTTGATCGTGACCCTGTTCAGCTCCCGGTAGTCAATACATGGTCTCAGGGTTTTGTCCTTCTTTTCCACGAAGATGATTCCCGCCCCTGCTGGAGAAGTGGAGGGGCGGATGAATCCCTTCTAAAGACTGTCCTCAATATATTCTTTTAGGGCCCCCAATTCAAGCTCAGGTAGGGGGAAATTCGCCCAAAAGGAATCTCAGAGCCCAGTAACAGGTCGATGGGACAGTCATATGGGCGGGGGGGGGGCAGAGTATCTGCTCCCCATTTACTGAATACATCCAGGAACCCATGATAGACTGCGGGAATAACCTATTTTAAATCAGAGTCTCCTTCGGAGCATAGGAGAACCCGGGGCCCCGTGGGGCCCGAAGTGCGACAATGTTCCCGACAGTATGGGGAAGGGAACGAGATTAACCCGTTTCCCAGTCAATTTGGGGGTTATGGGCCCGTAACCATGGGAGCCCCAAAATGACTGGAAAAAGGTGACACAATAGCATCCAGGCGGAGGAATTTCTGGTGTTGGTTGGCAATGGTAGTGGCAATGGGGGGAGTTTCCTGGTTAACTACCCCTGATTTTATCTGGGAACCATCGGCCAAAAATATGTTGAAGCCCTTCTTTCTGGGTTGGAGGGGAATACCCTGCTGGTGAGCAAAGTCTAAATCCAGGAAACAGCTGCATGCCCCCGAATCAACTATGGCTGTCACCTCCACGGTCCTTTCTGGAAGCTGAAAGGAGAGGGGCACCACTAAGTATTGAGAAGGACTGATATTGCTAATAGACAAAGAAGAAGAGGTGCACTTACTCATTTTCTGAGGGCAGGATCGTACCATATGACCAGCTTCACCGCAGTAGAGGCAGAGGTTCTGGGATAGTCTGCGCTGGCGTTCGTCCGGTGATAATTTAGGCCGCGCCAGGCCTAGCTGCATAGGTTCTGGAACATCTCCTGGAGGAAGATTCTGTATGCTTGGTCTAGTTGGTTGGCTGGGGCCTTGGAATGGACCCAGGTATTTCCGCGACCCTGGCCGGACCTCTCAAACCTGCGTTCCCGCAGTCTTCGGTCTATTTTAATTGTCAAGGTAATGAGGTCTTCTAAAGATTCGGGAACCTCCACCCGGGCCCAGCTCATCTTTCAAGGGATCGGACAGCCCCATATGGAACTGGTGCAGTAGAGAAAACTCGTTCCAGCGTGTGTCCCCCATCCACCGCCTGAAATCAGAGGCGTATTCCTCTGCCGCCCGCCAGCCCTGTCGGAGCGTATATAAGGTCGCTTCGGCAGAGGCTGCCCGCTGTGGGTCATCATACAAGATGGCCATCGCTTCAAAAAAACTACTGACCGATCCCAGATTCCCAGATGAGGGTCATTGTTTCCCCTTAACCGATGGGCCCAATCCTGGGGTTCACCCTGCAATAGTGAAATGACGAATCCACTTTCACAGTTTCGGTCAGAAAGGTACGGGGTTGTAGCTTAAAGAACAGGAGACAGGAATCGCGGAATGACCGGAAGCGTGTGCGGTCTCCGTGGAAACGCTCCGGTAAGGGTACTCGGGGTTCTGCCATAGGAAGCGGGGCGAAAGCCCCTGAGGCTGGCTCCTGAGTTACTACGGCCGGGGATGCAGAAACCGGGTCCTGTGGAGCAGGGTCAGATATAGAGCAAGTCTGGAAGCGATTCTCCAGCTGCATGCATCTGTCCTGCAGGGCCGTTACGGCCTGCGTCAAATTAGATAAGTGCCTGCAAATTTCCTCTAGCGGGGAGGGCCCTCCTCTAGGCTCAGTCATGGCCTTCTGGTACTGTAAGGGACCGCCTGGCGGTACCACTAGCCCTCCACTGATCAGGCGTCCCCAGCGTACGGAGTCTAAGCCCCAGAGTACTTGTTCACCAGAGCCCCTGATGGTGGGGATGGACTTTGAGTACCCCGGGACCAGGTCGTGACTACTGAGGATACCTGTCAGTGGTAGGGGTATTCGCCAGGGGCTCCCACGGGAGAGAGCCAGATATGAGGAGGTCTGGAGACCCCGTTGAGAGGGATGGATGGCTGAGTAAGTGCAACGTCAGCCAGGCTGGGTTGGTAACTATGGGGACGGTGCGGTACAAAGCGGCAGGCAGAGAATAGTCGGGTCACACGCCAGGTCAGCAACAGCAGGTCAGATCCAATAGGGGGCATCCAGGAGAGAGGTCAGGCAAGCAAGGGTCAAGACAGGAGAAAGCAGCAAGGTCAGGGCACAATCCGGGTCAGCAACTTACTATTTACAGGTTCACAGGATACAAGGAGACCAGAAGGCACTGAATGACAGCTCAGGGCCATTTAAATATCCCGCCCTGCGCTGTCATTCGTGCCAAGCACGCGCCCGCGGTCTCTACTGCGCATGTGCGAACTCGATTGCCGCGGTCGGCCAGGTCCCAGCGCCCGCGTCCCTGCACAGGGCGGTGCACTGCGCCTGCGCCGCGGCGATCCCCGACCCCCACTCTAAGCAGCTAATTAAGCCATAACACCTGCAAAGGGTTCCTGAGCCTTTAAATGGTCTCTCAGTGTGGTTCAGTAGGAATCACAATCATGGGAAAGACTGCTGACCTGACAGTTGTGCAGAAAACCATCATTGACACCCTCCATAAGGAGGGAAAGCCTCAAAAGGTAATTGCAAAAGAAGTTGGATGTTGCTGTATCAAAGCACATTAATAGAAAGTTATGTGTAAGGAAAACGTGTGGAAGAAAAAGGTGCACAAGCAGCAGGGATGACCGCAGCCTGGAGAGGATTGTCAGGAAAAGGCCATTCAAAATGTTGGGGACTTTCACAAGGAGTAGACTGAGGCTGGAGTCAGTGCATCAAGAGCCACCACACACAGACGGATCTTGGACATGGGCTTCAAATGTCATATTCCTCTTGTCAGGCTGCTCCTGAATAACAAACGTCAGGAGTGTCTTACCTGGGCTAAAGAAAAACAGACCTGGTCTTTTGCTCAGTGGTCCAAAGTCCTCTTTTCTGATGAGAGCAACTTTTGCATCTCATTTGGAAACCAAGGACCCAGAGTATGGAGGAAGAATGGAGAGGCACACACTGCAAGATGCTTGAAGTCCAGTGTGAAGTTTCCACAGTCTGTGTTGATTTGGGGAGCCATGTCATCTGCTGGTGTTTTTCCACTGTGCTTCATTAAGTCCAGGGTCAACGCAGCCATCTACCAGGAGATTTTGGAGCACTTCTTGCTTCCTTCCGCAGACTAGCTTTATGGGGATGCTGACTTCATTTTCCAGCAGGACTTGGCACCTGCCCACACTGCCAAAAGCACCAAAACCTGGTTCAGTGACTGTGGGATTACTGTGCTTGATTGGCCAGCAAACTCGCCTGACCTGAACCCCATAGAGAATCTATGGGGCATTGCCAAAAGAAAGATGAGAGACATGAGACCAAACAATGCAGAAGAGCTGAAGGCCGCTATTGAAGCATCCTGGTCTTCCATAACACCTCAGCAGTGCCACAGGCTGATAGCTTCCATGCCATGCCGCATTGAGGCAGTAATTGCTGCAAAAAGGGTCCAAACCAAGTACTGAGTATATATGCATGCTTATACTTTTCAGAGGTCCGATATTGTTCTATGTACAATCCTTGTTTTATTGATTGCATGTAATATTCTAATTTTCTGAGATTGTGGATTTGGGGTTTTCATGAGCTGTAAGACATAATCATCACAATTATGACAAATCACGGCTTGAACTATCTTGATTTGAATGTAATGAGTCCATCTCATATATTAGTTTCACCTTTTTAGGTTCCATTACTGAAATAAATGAACTTTTGCACGATATTCTAATTTTTCGAGTTTCACCTGTACACAGACATGCCCAGATGTCTAGCAGACAAGTCTTGGCTTCCAAACAGACCAGACTTACTAGTCCAAAGTTCCCTGTTCCACCCTGCTTCTCAGTCAATAGCTTATTCAAGGCTTTTAGATATCTTTTTGTATGCTTTTCCATCTTTATAAAGTTCATTTAGCTTGTTACGCTGGTCTTTTTACAGTTCTTTTCTGCGCTCCATTGTTCAGTATCTAGCCTGCTCAGTTCGTCCACTTGAGAGTTAACAAACTCATTGACTATTTATACACGGACACTAATTGCAGTATAAAAAGCCACAGATGTGGGAAATTAACCTTTATCTGCCCATTTAGCCTGTGTGTGCCACCGTGTGTGTCTGTACCAAGGCCAAACATTCCAGGGTATGTAAACTTTTTATCAGGGCTATTTGGTGATTTCTGTTATGATTTAAAAAGGAGCCAAACAGCTGGGTGAGTTTTCTGGCATGATCAGTCATATTTTCAATATCAATGCCAAAATTTCACAATTTCTGCCAGGGTATGCAAACTTTTGAGCACAACAGTTTATGTCCTACTTAAGGTGCAGTACTTCTGAAGCCTCTCTGTATCAGAGATCAGGTGCTCAGTTGCACAACCTGAAAAGATGGAGCAGACAGGAACAATGAAAGACTGCATTATAGTAGTTTTATAGTGACAGAGAAGAGGACAATATTTACTTGTCACCTCATCCTTTTTCACTAAAAACATTTGAATGGAGTTCTCATTCTAAACTCATTCACAGGTTGATTTTGAGGTAACAATCCCAGGAGAGGGGAAGGACAGGATCTTTAAAGTGTCTATAAAATGGATGGCTGTAGTAAGCTGGAGGATGCTCCATGAAGCTCTGGGAAGTGGACGAATTCAGCTCCCTCTGGAATCTGTGCAAGCCCTGGATGTAGCAATGAGACACCTGGCCTCAATGAGGTGAGACTTTTTATTTCCATGTTTTTAAATAGCTGCTAAAAAGAAGTATACCATGCAATCAAGCAAGCCAGTTCTCCCAATGAAAAAAATTTGTTTGCAGGTATACCCCTGTAGGGAGATCCTTCTTTTCACCGCCTGAGGGTTACTATCACCCACTTGGAGGAGGACGTGAGGTTTGGTTTGGGTTTCATCAGTCTGTTCGCCCAGCCATGTGGAACATGATGCTTAATATAGATGGTAAGTACAAAACTGTTCTGACTGCATTGTTTTAATAAAAATATAAAACCCAAAGTGATATAAAGACTGCTAAACGTCTCGTTTCAGCCTCTGTTTATCAACACCGTATATTGCACAATTTATGTCAATATGAAATAGTGCATAGTGAAATATACTTTTAAAAACTGCATCTTGTCTTTTCAGATGCTTATTATGTAAACACTTTCAATACTGCAAATAATCAAGAAAGTGACCATATGTATGTATTACATTGTATATATTAATTTGTGCTTTTCATTTGAGGCATATCTTCTAAAAACGTCTTTTCTCTGTGTCTGAGAAGTCTTCGTTTTTAATTTTTCAGTATCGGCTACAGCCTTCTACAAGGCCCAGCCAGTAATAGAATTCATGTGTGAGGTGCTGGATATTCGGAACATAGATGAACAACCCAAACCTCTCACAGACTCACAGAGGGTTCGCTTTACTAAGGAAATCAAAGGTCAGTTTTTTGGGGTTTTTTATAGTGTTGCTAATTGAGACTTTAATGTTATTCTGGCAGTCTCAGAAACTTTCCATCAGTGTTGGTTGCAGAAAAGGATAGCACTGAGTTGAAAGGTCCACAGTAATCTCTAAATGGTTGTTTAATCCTTCTCTCAATTGTTTTTCGATCCTTGTTCAGTTTTGAGTGACCATAGATTTGATATTGGGTGGAAATCGACAGGTATTGTCATGGTTTCAAATTATTGCAACTACAATTGCTCTGTTGCTCAAAATTGAAAAAGGATGTATACATAGGTGCCAGATTGCTGTTAAATTTTTTTGTTACTTTATTGTTAGAGTAAAACTTTCAAAGCTGCCATGTGCATAGTTAACATTAGACTACCTGAAATTATTTCATCTCTAAACCGATGTTGAGTGCTTAAATCATCCACATGTTTCCTATATCTGCAAAGTGCTCCAGCAGCATATTCTCTGAGACTGTGTGGGTGAGACATGAGGTCTAAACCAGATTCACTAGCCAAGGAATCTTTCTAGTTTCCAAAGGATATGGGCAGACCGCTTGTGTTCTATTATAATTCAAATTTCTATATATTATGTTTTATTGGACTACTTATACCAAAAAAAATAACAGCTGGAAATTACTATAAGAAACAAGGACAGTTTTTTGACATTTGCTTTTATCCCTCCTTCTATAACATATTAGCATGGGTAAAGGAATAAATATTGTTTAAAGAAAACCTATCCTAACAGGGTGAAATAAGCAGGTAAATACAGACCAGTTACCCCATGGTGCTGATCAAGCTGACATACTTTAATATCCACTGCCGATGGTCATTCTGGGAATCCCTGAACCTTGGTGAAAATGCAATATGCAACTTTCAAATTTCAGTATTGTTGGTGTTGAGGTACATCTCACAATGTAATGTGAGTCATCTATCGAAAAATTCTCTCATTTCATTTTGGAAAGCGATAAGAGTGATCCTCAGCACTGACTGTTCAGAAACTCAGAATTACGATTTAGGCACTACATACAGTAGGCATAATAGCTACTATTCTCTAATATTTGATTTGTGTTGTAAATGTTTAAAAGGCTAACTGTACACAGCTAAAGGAATATAGGTATACCTGTCCCAAGCTCTCCCAAGTGGACTCGAGCTCCCTTGGGTTGCATCAAAGAAAAAACTGGTCAGTTTCTGACAGATCCTTCTCATGCGTGTGTAGATTGAATGTCCACCGTGGTGCAGAATGCACCTGAGAGGTCTTGCTTAAAGTATACCTCAAGGCAACAATAGAAAAAAACAAACATATTTGCACAATTTTCCTATGTTTTATCCCTTTAAATGTACTGCATGTACAGAAAAATAACTGTTGATGTGGCAGAAATAAAGTGTGTCTGCATCCTGAAAAAGGGTTTCTGTACCTGGAGGTGTTTAGAGTTCTACTGCAGGTGGGAAACGCCAGATGTGAAACTCTTTACTTTACATTCAACAACAAACTGGACAGATTTGGATCTGTTGGGGCCTAGGATCTATGAGATCTGTTCAACCTGGTTTATGCTTTTCCCCGTATCAAGCTCCTTCTTTGCAAGGTGGAGGTTATTCCAGTCTTTTTTTTTTTGCATTATACTGGTCCAGGAGGGCGTGGTACTCGAATAGTCAAATTCCTGGCAGACTGTCCATGAATCCTCCCATATTGTCGAAACCTTCTATCACAAGGGTCCATGTACCATCCTGCTTCAGGGTTGCTGGCTTTCACAACCTCACTTTGAAGCCCAGGTCCTGAAAGACAGAGGTATTTTGTGATTTGTAATGCCTTCCCTCTTGGAAGTTATCTGTGCAAGGTCTTCCATTGGAATTGCACTTTGTCTCGCGCTTTGCTTGGTGCGAGACAGGAAATTTCACCCTAGAAAGTATTATGTGGGATGCATCCTGTCTTTTCTCCAGTTGAGTCATGACAAGTCATTGGCCTTAAGTACCATTAAGGGTTAGATCTCAGATTTGGTGGTCCTCTTTCAGATGCTTCTTGCTTCTCATTCCTTAGTGAGAGCTTTTCTGCAGGAGGTCACATTGTTCCTCCTGTTTGAACTCCATGGGTCTTTAACCTGGTTTTGTCATTTCTTCAGAAACTGCTGTTTGAACCCATCAAAGATGTTCCTCTCCCTGTCCTTGCTTGTAAGGTTGCCTTTCTGTTTGCCATTACTTCAGCTTCTGAGTTGGCAACTTTATCTTGTAAGGAACCGTTTCTTGTGCAGCGGATGCTGCCTTCAGTCTGCCCATCCCTAATGGAATTGCTTTTAAACTTTCCATTAGTCTAAGAATTAGTCAATCCTGTGATGTTTTTCAAGAAAAGGATTTTACAAGAAAATAGGATTTTTGACTTGCCTATAAAATCTACAAAAATGAAGGCATGCTGGCAATGGGAGTGGTTATGCAGGGCTGGGTTTTAGCTTTGTCAATGCCCAATCACCTGGAGGTAAGTCATGCCCTTGGTCTAAGAATTAACCAGTCCTGTGATGTGTTTCAAGAAAAAAATTTTTTTAGGTTAAAGTAAAGAAAAATCCTATTTTTTTTTTTTCACTCATCGAACAGATATAACAAAACACTTCAAATAGTATACATAACAGATCAAAGGGAGCAGATACGAGAAGTTCACTGTGGGTCTACATATCCTTTAATTTCACTGTTTTGTTACACATTTTTTCTGTAAGGAAAGGTTTAAAATAAGGTTCGTCAGCATTAACTGTGTAGTAAATTTTTGCATGTTGCAGACGTCCTGCAGCAAGCATTTGTAAGTCTGATCAATCGGCACTATGCAGTTCCTGGTTTGCATTTATGTGCTTATTTCTGTGACACAAGTGCTTTCAAGATATTTGGAGTAATTGATATAGTGTGGAATCTTGGTAACTTGTCATCTTGATGGGCAGGGTTGAAAGTGGAAGTCACCCACTGTGGGCAGATGAAAAGAAAGTACAGAGTTTGCAATGTTACTCGCAGGCCGGCCAGTCACCAGACGTAAGTAATATTAAAGGCCATTAATTATGCCAAGTGTGAGGAATTAGAAAATCTAAGTAGTATCTTGTCTTGTGTGTCTTAGGTTCCCACTGCAGCTGGAGAGTGGCCAAACTGTGGAGTGCACAGTAGCCCAATATTTCAAGCAGAAGTATAACTTACAGCTAAAATATCCTCACCTTCCATGCCTGCAGGTTGGACAGGAGCAGAAGCACACTTATCTACCTCTGGAGGTGAGACCTTGATTCTTGCATCATACTTCTATTGAACACTTTGAGATTTATTTACTAAAGCTGGAGAGTGCAAAATTAGGCTCACTTTTGCATAGAAACCAATCAGCTTCTAACCTCAGCTTGTTCAATTCGGCTTTGGCAATAAAACCTGGAAGCTGATTGGTTTCTATACAGAAGTGAGCCTAATTTTGCACTATTCAGCTTTAGTAAATAAACCCCTTAGAGTCTCCCTGATATTTTAAGAATAGATGATTCATCTTCTAAACCTGTTATAAGTTGGGTCTTTAAATTTATAATACAGTGTCAAACATATTAGAGCACAGAGGAAAGCATCTGAATACTTTCTCCTGCTTATGGCAAAAGAGGCATACTTAAGCTGGCCATACATTAGTAGAATTTTGTTTGATTTTCTACTGGTTAGTGGGGTCAAATCCGCATTTGTTTTTGAACGCAGTGACAAGGAAATTTTCTCAAATAATTTCTAAAAGTGAATATGTTTTTGTTCAAGGAATAACATTCATTCCAAAAACAATGGTTAAAAACAGATTCAATTTTTAGGTACTTTTGAACAGCATTCGTCTAGAGATCAAATATACTGAGAATTTTTTAAAAAATTTTTTAGTGTATGCCCACTATACAGGGTGCTGCCCGTAAAGTTTAATGGAATATAAGGCAGCCGGTGGTAGAGCATCTCATGATCCTTTCCTGGCTGACTTGAGAGCAGCCAGAGGCTGATGGGTCTTGTTTGCTCTTCACACACCCATCTATACCTCTTATAAAGTTGCAAGCATGCAGCCAGACCATGTTTATGATGTGAGCACAGTTTCTAGTAACTGTGTATTAGGCCTTTGTATTGGATTCCAACGACAAGAATAGGTGGATTTTTGCTGCTGGAAAAAAGGTGTATGTGAACAGTGACAGCTTCTCAGCTAGTAAAAAGTAACGATAGGCTGAGAGGAGCCATCACTTTTCACATATATATATACAAACCATCAGTTACCTACAGTTAGGGATGGATGAGAATCCCTGAACACAAACAGAGTAGGGTCACCACTGTTCACATACACCTGTCATCACATCCGCAAGAATCCACTGCCTATACTTGCCTCTGGAAGCCGGTTTATGCACACAAAAGTGAAAAAATATTTGCCCCCTTCTTGATTTATTTTTTTGCATATTTGTCACACTTAAATGATTCAGATCATCAAACAATATTTAATATTACACAAAGATAACCCTATGAAATACAAAATGCAGTTTTTAAATGTTGGTTTCATTTATTAAGGGGAAAAAGCTGTCCAAACCTGAAAAAGTAATTGCCGCCTAAACCGAATAACTGGTTGTGCCACCCTTGGCTGCAACAACTGCAATCAAGCATTTGTGGTAACCGGAAATGAGTCTCTTACATTGCTGTGGAGGAATTTTGTCCCACAAATAGAATTTTTAATTCAGCCACATTGGAGGGTTTTCCAGAACGAATGGCCTGTTTAAGGTCATGCGACAGCATCTCAATCGGATTTAAGTCTGGACTTTGACTAGACCACTTCAAAGCCTTAATTTTGTTTTGTTTGGGGTTTTTTTTGTAATTTTTAGCCATTCAGAGGTGGACTTGCTGGTGTGTTTCGGATCATTGTCCTGCTGCATAACCCAAGTGTGCTTGTGCTTGAGGTCACAAACTTATGGCCGGACATTCTCCTTCAGGATTTTGTGGTAGAGTGCAGAATTCATGGTTCCATCAATTCTGACAAGTCGCAAATGCAGCCGCAGACACTCACACTACTACTATGATCTTTGACTGTTGGTATGACCCTTGCTAAATCATGAATGAACTGTGGTTAACCACATTTTTTGGGAAACTGAGTTAAATTTCATTGCCGCACCTAAGCCTGTTTAATGCCAGACCTGTTAAATCAAGAAATCACTTAGACGCCGACAAAGTGAAGCACACTAAAAGATCTTAAAAAGCAACATATCATGCAGTGATCTAAAGAAATGGGTTACAAAGCCATTTCAAAGGCTTTGGGACTCCAGCAAACCACGGTGAGAGCCATTAGCCGCAAATGGAGAAAACCTGGAACAGTGGCGAACCTCCCCAGGAGTGGCTGGTCTACCAAAATTACTTCAAGAGCACAACAACAACTTATCCTGGAGGTCCTAAAAGAACCTAGAACATCATCTAAAGAAGTGCAGGCCTCATTTGCCTTAGTTAAGGTCAGTGCTCATGATTCAACAATAAAAAAGAGACTGGGCAAAAATGGCATCCATGGGAGAGTTCCAAGGTGGAAGCCAGTACTGACCAAAAAAGAACACAAAGGCTTGTCTCACATTTGCAAAAAACATGTTGATTATCCCCAAGACTTTTGGGGGAAATATTCTGTGGACTGATGAGACGAAAGTTGGACTTTTTGGAAGGTGTACATCCCATTACATCTGGCATAAAAACTAACAGCATTTCATAAAAAGCATCATACCAACAGTCAAACATGGTGGTAGTAATGTGCGCTGTACACTAAACCAATCTGACACGGTACCTAAACACAATATACCAAATATAGACCATAAGTAAGTCTATATACATAATATAAATTAGCAAAAAGTCCCAGATCCAATGTGAAAGTGCTGTGTGCTGAAAACATCCTCCAACAGAGTGCTATGGTGATCACAAGTGCTTGCCACAACAGACAGATTAGCCTCTTACCAGACACCTTGATCTCCAATCAAAGGATCAAACAAGCAGTTGGTGTTCAGATTCCTCACTGACACCCATGCTAGCAATATCAAGGAAAATAGATGGACAGCTGCGTGCTCACCTAAACGAATTCCTTGCATAGAACTGCTCTCCATACAATGCAGAGAAGGATTAAAACAGAAGAGACTTCATAGTACAACCCGATAAAACTCAAAAAATGTTTTCAGGAAAATATTGCACTTACATAGATGAAGTGCATAAAGGCAGTATACGAATTCAAAATTCCCACGGTGTCATACCATCGGCCGGAACGTGGTGACGTCACAGAAGACTCCGCCCAGTAGTAATGTGATGGCCTGGGGCTGCTTTGCAGCTTCAGGACATGGACGAATTGCCATAATTGAAGGAACCATGAATTTTGCGCTCTACCACAAAATCCTGAAGGAGAGTGTTCAGCCATCAGTTTGTGACCTCAAGCTCAAGCACACTTGGGGTTATGCAGCAGTACAATGATCTGAAACACACCAATAAGTCCACCTCTGGCTAAAAAAACAAACAAAAAAAAAAACTAAATTAAGGTTTTGGAGTGGTCTAGTCAAAGTCCAGACTTAAAGCCGATTTAGATGCTGTGGCAAGACGTTATACAGGCCATTCATGCTCAAAAACACCCCAATGTGGCTGATTTAAAACACTTCTGCACAGAAGAGTGGGCCAAAATTCCTCCACAGCAATGTTAAAGACTCATTGGCAGTTATTGCAAATGCTTGACTGCAGTTGTTGCTGTCAAGGACGGCACAACCAGTTATTAGGTTTAGGGGGCAATTCCTTTTTCACATAGTGTCAGGCAAGTTTGGACAGCTTTTTTTTTCTCTTAGTAAATCATCATTTTAAAACTGCATTTTGTATTTACTTGGGTTATCTTTGTGTAATAAAAATTGGTTGATGATCTGAATCATTTAAGTGTGACAAATATGCAAGAAAATCAGGAAGGGGGCAAAATACTTGTTCACAAAACTGTATATAATCACCTTAGTGAAGAACGCCTTACGGGTCCTTTGATCAAGCGCTACACAGCTTTATACAATATGTGTGGACCAACTCAGTGCATTTGGATCTGCAGCTGATGTTTACCTTACATATAGAATACAAACAAGAGAACCTGTTTTGATTGATACAGTGTGCTTTCCAGGTTTCAGGGCCTATTGGTAATGTGGCTTTTCAATGCCTGCTATAAAGCCTTATATTTTACTTAAATTGGTGCTTCATGATCAAAGGGGATAGGGATCAAGAATGGAAAATAAAATACTAAATATCTACTGGTTACGGGGAGGGGGGTTAATTATTATTATGCAAATGATATTTTTCTCATTTACCTAAATAATTGATGTAAATAACAGTCAGCATAATTCTCATGTTCTCAACTATTAAGAGTGAAATTCAAATTTTATTAAACAAACCTCCTAATGATAACAGTATTTTTGTTAAACATAAAACACTTACAATGCACTGTTCCAAATTATTACGCACAGTAAGTTTCAAAACACTTTATAGGTTGTAAAGAACTGAAAATTGTCATTTGTTGTGTTTGCAGCATATTTACTGAAATCAAAAGCTATTTCAATCAAACTTTCAACAACATTTTAACTTTTTAAACATTTTAACAGGTCACGTTACATTTTAACATAGGTCCCCTTATTTGATAGCAGCTTCACAAGTCTTGCATCCATTGAACTTTTTTGAGTTTTTGGACAGTTTCTGCTTGAATTTGTTTGCAAGATGTCAGAATAGCCTCCCAGAGCTGCTGTTTGGATGTAAACTGCCTCCCACCCTCATAGATCTTTTGCTTGAGAATGCTCAAAAGGTTCTCAATAGGATTGAGGTCAGGGGAGGATGGAGGCCACACCATGACTTTCTCTCCTTTTATCCCCATAAAAGCCATTGATGCAGAGGTATTCTTTGCAGCATGAGATGGTGCATTGTCATGCATGAAGATGATTTTATTACAGAAAGCATAGTTCTTCCTACTGTACCAGGAAAGATAGTGGTCAGTCATAAACTCCACATACTTTGCAGAGGTCATCTTTACACCTTCGGGGACCCTAAAGGGGCCGACCAGCTCTGTTCCCATGATTCCGGCCTAAAAATGACTCCTCCACCACCTTGCTGACGTCGCAGCCTTGTTGGAACAGGGTGGCCGTCCACCAACCATCCACTACTCTATCCATCTGGACCATCCAGGGTTGCACGGCACTCATCAGTGAACAGAAGAATGAAGAATTAGTCTTCACGTATTTTTCTGCCCAATGCAGCCGTTTCTGCTTGTGAGCATTGGTTATTGGTGGCCGAAGAGAAGGTTTATGCACAGTTGCAAGACTCTGGAGGACTCTACACCTTGATGTCCGTGGGACTCCAGAGGCACCAGCAGCTTCAAATATCTGTTTGCTGCAATGTAATGGTATTTTAGCAGCTGCTCTCTTGATCCAATGCATGGATCTGGCAGAAATCTTCCTCAATGTGCCTTTGTCTGCATGAACCCGTCTGTGCTCTGAATCAGCCGCAAATCTCTTAATAGTGCGATGATCACGCTTAAGTTTTTGTTAAATATCTAATGTTTTCATACCTTGTCCAAGGCATTGAACTATTTCACTCTTTTCGGCAGCAGAGAGATCCTTTTTCTTCCCCATATTGCTTGAAAATGGTGCTCTGCTTAACAATGTGTAACACCCTCCTTTAGTAGTTTTTCCTTAAATTGGGCTCACCGGCCAATCTAATTATCACAGGTGTCCGAGATTGTTTTCAGTGATCAAAAGAGCCCTGAGACACAATGCCATCCATGAGTTAAACTGAAAAACAAAATATTTAATCTTTGTGACACTTAAATAGAATTTGCATAATAATTTGGAACCCGGTGTATATGTATGTGTGATTTTGCATTTCCAGGTAGGGGGTGCGTACCCTACCCGTGCCACCATTCGTGTCCCCAGCTGTCAATCACCGGCCGATAATTACTCACCGGCGCCCGGTGATTTCCGAAGATCTCCGACTGGGAGGAGAACTGTTTTGTTTACTAACAGTTGTCCTCTGTCTGCTCGGGCACACTGCTTTGCATGGCTGTGCACAGCCATCCAAAGCAGTGCGATTACAGTGAAACACACAGACATCACCCCCTAATAAAACACTCCCTGCAGACAGTTAACCCTTCGATCTCCCCTCATGTTAACCCCTTCCTGCCCAGTGCCATTAGTACAGTGTCTGTGCTTTTTTTATTTTAGCACTGATCACTGTATTGGTGTCACTGGGGATGTCATTGACACCAAGTCAGTTCCCCCCAGTGTCTAGAATGTCCACCGCAGTCCCGCTAAAAGTCGCTGATTGCTGCCATTACTAGTAAAAAAAATGTTTAAAAAAAATCCCAGTATATATACCACCATTTTGTAAACGCTATAACTTTCATGTAAACCAATTAATTTACACATATTGGGATTTTTTTTAGCAAAGACATATCACAGAATATATTTTGGCATAAATTTATTAGGAACTTTGATTTTTTTTTTTTTTTTTACTGGACATGTTTAATAGCAAAAAGTAAAAAATATAGTTTTTTTTTTTTTCTCAAAATTATCGTCTTTTTTTTTTTTATAGCGCAAAAAATAAAAAAACGCACAGGCAATCAAATACCACCAAAAGAAAGCTCAATTCTTGGGAATGAAAGGACGTAAATTTAATTTGGGTGCAGCGTTGCATGACCGCACATTTGTCAGTTAAAGTAACGCAGCGCCATAATGCAAAAAATGGCCTGGTCAGGATAAATTCTCAGGAGCGCAAGTGGTTAAAAAAAATATTATTTTTATTGTTTTTGTAGGTCTGTAACATTGTAGCTGGCCAACGATGTATTAAGAAGCTGACTGACAATCAGACCTCCACAATGATTAAAGCAACAGCTCGGTCTGCACCAGACAGACAAGAAGAGATCAGCAGGCTGGTGAGTGAATTTTTTCAATAATTATTGGAACAATAATCTCTACTGAGGTGCTGTTATTGTTTATTTACTTATGTCCTGTCAACATATTCAGTAGTGCTTTGTAGCAGTCATATAGATGTATGCCCTATAGAACTAAGTTTGGATGGAACCTTTAATTTAATTTTACTTGTGGTCATCAAAAGTCAATAACTAAATGATGAATTTCAAATTTCAGACCTGATTCATTGACAAAATATTGGCATTAGGCCATAAATTAGGTAATAGCCAATGTTTAGAGCTGAACCCAAGAAATCAAAAACTCTTCCCATGCAATGGAGTTTTTCCTGTGCTGCAAGAACTAACTGCTTGTATAGGCCTAGGGGATTTGGAAAAGTACCGCTTTTTTACTTACCTGATCCTCTGCTACTGCAGACTCTTCCTGCAGCCTTTTCCCCCCCGCACTCTCCCTGAGTCCAAGATCCTTTGACATGATTAAGACCAATGCAGTGTCCATAGTCCTGCATTGGATGTGAGGACGGTGGAGAACAGTCCACTGCTGGAGCATGGTGGAGCGGTGTCTGCTAGGGAGTAGAGGATCAGGTAAGTAAAATATTTTTTACTCTCCTAGACATAAACAAGCATGTAACCCTAGTAGTGCGGTGCAGCCCCACTGCAAGGAAGGAGTTTTAGTTTTTCTGGAGTTGGGCTTTAAGTAGTTTGTCTCCCAAGTCTGAGAATACTGTGGTCTTTTTGCTAACTTTTAGCTTTTAAAAAACGATCAGTTACATGTAAAATGTTTTGGGGCCTTGATTGCATGCTTGAATTGATGAAAGATGTGAGCTCTGTTAATGCGACAGAATCCAAGTATACATATAAATAAAGATCTACCATCAGTGGAGTTTTTAGCCACATCAGAGCAGATTATTTTCATTGATATGTTGTATGTTGCAGAAGAATTGGGAAGGATTTATAACCATGTATTAAATATTTAATAGGGACATGCAGGACAGCATCAGTAACATGTAAACTGAGTGGGTCAAGGTTATTGCATTGCTGACGCATGTGTGTTATATTGTTAATGCACATCTTAGCAGAGGATAATAGTTACCCTATCTTAATCGTACAGTACAGAATATGGGCTTGGTATTCATAGACTGGAACCTTCATGTGACTAGACACTGGCAAAGCTTTTGAGGGCATGCCCCCTGGGCATCCCTCTATAACCCTACCCCACTCTGTGAATACTCAATTTTTTGCTAGTGCTCTAAGGTGATGGACCTTTCTCCATTTATGGAGAAATCACTCTTACCTTAGCCAGTTTATTATTTTACTTTGGATTCTTCAATCAATTCTTTAAATCTTTACTGTCTTCAATTACAACAATAGAACCAGCGCACCTGTATCCGTAAAACCTTGGGATTCATACTGGAACCAGCAAGAGAAAATGTCACCAGTACACAGAGGATCACTAATATGGGTGCAAAGGTTTTAATGAACGATCACATAGTTACAGCAAGGCAACGTTTCGGAGTCTCGCAGGACCCCTTCATCAGGCATGTCACATGCACCTCCAACAGTAACGCAAGAACCAGAGCCAAAGGTTAACCTGCCTGATCACTTTTCTGGTGACCCCCATGTGTTTTCCAAATTTAAAAACAGTTGTATAATATACTTTGTGCTTAAGCCAAGCTCTTCTGGTTCTGAAGCACAGCTGGTTGACCTAATTATTACATGGTTGCGAGGGGACCTCCAGTCATGGGCTTTTAGTCTGCCCGCAAATGACCAAGCCCGAGGGTCATTCGAAGAATTTTTAAAGGCCCTGAGTTTACTCTGATGATCCTGACCATGCCCACTCAGCTGAAACTAACCTTAAATCATTACATCAGGGTAAAAGTACCACTGAACAATATTGTTCTGATTTACGCCGCTGGGCACCCGACTCAGGGTGAAATGATCCAATTATAAGAAGCAAGTTCAGGTTAGGCTTATCAAAATCTATCAAAGACTCCATAGTACACACTACCCCCGAATCAGTCCTTGAATAAAGCCATTCAAGTAGCCATCCATATAGACAGGCATTTATGTGAAAGGAGTACTGAGATGTTTGTTCCTCTGCCCCCTAGTATGCTGCTCACTTCTTCTAAATCGGATCTTCTGGGGTCCTCTAAACCACCAGGTGGAGGAGCCCATGCAAATTGGCGCTACTCATTTATCCTCTGGGGGAAAAAGCTAGAAGAAGATCCCTGGGACTCCGCTTATACTGTGGGGACCACAGCCACTTTGTCACCAGCTGCCCCAACAGGCCAGGAAACGCCAAGAGTCAAGTGCGGGTGGGATCTTCTTCTCTAGACTATACGATGCCATATTCACCTCTCAGACAAACAATTTATTCCTTTGCAACTTAGTTCTGCCACATTTTCTTATCACTTCTCAGCTTTCATATATTCTGGAGGCGCTAGCAAATTCAATGATGGTGCCCTAGCACACTGTCTACAGATTCCCTTGACTAAGGTGCACAAATCTTTTTCAATCTTAGCTGTTGATAACGCTCCCTTGTCCATGGGTCTGGTGACCTTGTGCGTGGTACCTTTTACTCTATCCATTGGGGAATTTCATTAGGATTCAATAAGCTTCTACTTGATAACATCTCCTGCTTATCCCCTTATCTTAGGTTAGCCTTGGCTTGAACCTCATAAACCACGCATAAACTGGGGTACAGGGGGGAAATAATTATTTGATCCCCTGCAGATTTTGTAAGTTTGCCCACTTACAAAGAAATGAAGGGTCTATAACTTTTATCATAGATGTAATTAATGTAATAGATGACAGAATATCTACCAAAAATCCAGAAAAACACACAATACAAATGTTATAAATTGAGTTGCAGTTCAGTGAGTAAAATAAGTATTTGATGTCCTACCAACCAACAATAATTCTGGCTCCCACAGACTGTCTATGTGCTCATATGGTGCACAGATTAGTCCTGTCAAATTAAGAAGGTCCTCCTAATCACAACTGTCATGTACCTGATAGGAGACTGAAATGATGAGGTCGGCCTCACTTGTGTCACTAGCCCTGACCCCGCTGGAAGTGGAACAGAGGGTGTCTAGGGACCATGGGGACAAGAGTGCCAGCAGATGTTGCCTGAAGAACTTGCAGCTGGAGTCCTTAAAGAACTGGTGAACCACCAATTCAGGAACAGTAGTGATATGCAGAGCTGGTATGGTAGACCACCAGGCGTGCACCAGAGCAAGGCAGGAAGCTGGAATAGGAGACGGGAGCAACGTCATAGGAATAGCCAGGGTCATCAACGGGCGCACAGCAAGATACCAAACCATAAGCAAGCCAAAGTCGGGAACAGAGCCGAGGTCAGGAACAAGTATCAAGCAGGAGAGGAATCAAGAGTCAGGTCAGGAACAAGCCGGGTCAGCAACAAGGGAATCACACAGGAACACAGCAGTACACGGGGACAGCTGAAGATCAGTCCGCAGTAAGCACAGGCAGAGGCACCCTTTAAATAGTCCATCTAGCGCCAAGATTCACCGTGCGCGATTGCACATTTCTGTGCACATGCACACATCTGGTCACTATTTTCTGGATATTTCCATGTGCATGCACATTTCTATTTGCCAGCCATCTCACAGGAATTCCCTTACAACAATCTTTATGTGTATCATTATGTGTATAAAAGACACCTGTCCACAGAATCTTTCTTCTATTCAAACCTCACCATATGGGCAAGACCAAAGAGTAGTCAAAGGACGTCAGGGACAAGATTGTAGACCTGCACAAGGCTGGAATGGGCTACAAGACAATCAGCAAGAAGCTTGATGAGAAGGAGACAACTGTTGGAGCAAATGGAAGAAATACAAAATAACCGTCAATCGCCTTCGGTTTGGAGCTCCATGCAAGATTTTTCCTCATGGGGTAAGGATGATCTTGAGAAAAGTGAGGGACCAGCCCAGAACTACACTGGAGGAGCTTGTGAATTATCTCAAGGCAGTTGGTACCACAGTCACCAACAACAAAACATTGGTAACACAATATGCTGGCACGGATTGAAATCTTGCAGAGCCTGCAAGGTCCCCCTTCTCAAGATATGCAGGACCGTCTGAAGTTTGTCAGCAAACATCTAAATGATTCAGAGAAGGATTGGGAGAAAGTGCTGTGGTCAAATGAGTCCAAAATTGAGCTCTTTGGCACTAACTCGACTCGCTGTGTTTGGAGGAATAATTATGCTGACTATGATCCTAAGATTACCATCCCTACAGTCAAGCACAGAGGTGGAAACATTATGCTTTGGGCGGTTTCTCTGCTAAAAGTACAAGTTATCTTTGCCACATTGAGGGGCCAATAGACAGGGCCATGTACTGTAAAATCCAGGATATTATGTAGGATATTGTGTGTGTGTGTGTGTGTTTGTGTATGTATATATATATATATATATATATATATATATATATATATATATATATATATATATATATATATATAATATTGTGCCAGTGTGGCGATCTGTCACGATGTGGAAAAGTTATTTCACCCAGGATTCTCAACCAGGCAGGTTGAGGGGCTCCAGAGGGTTGATGTATTGCAGAGAAAACTGGCTTTTCGGTTTCCTCATTTATTCATTAAGTCCGTTTTGGGATCTGAAGCCTGGAGTTTTCAAAGAGATCTGGGAGGGATGAAATCTCCAATCCTGGGACCAGGTTTTGGAAATGGCCAGGATACTGATTGCTCAGGTGTGCAGGGCAATCTTCTAGGGTCTAGGGCAGTCAGTCAGGAGGACCAGGGTTCTGGGCTCCACCCCGGCAGACGGGAGTCAGGAGGGCTCCACACCGGCAGACGGGAGTCAGGAGGGCTCCACCCCGGCAGACGGGAGTCAGGAGGGCTCCACCAAGGAGAGGTAGAAACCAGACTAGCTGTGTGCTAGTGGCCAGCTGTGTGCGAGAGCCATAATTTGGGAAGAGTCTGCAGGAGACAGACATCAAACTGAGTACAAGCCAGGAGGCTGAATCTTTGTTGTTTTTGCTTGATGGTGGATACCCCTGCGTGAGAAGCTTTATGTTACGGGATGTTCTTTTAAATAAAATTGGGCAAAAAGGCCCTTAAAAAGAAGCGAGTTGCTGTGTGCTTTTGAAAGGAAAAGCTCTACCACTGGAAGCGAGTTCCCACAATCTATATACATAGAGAGAGAGAATATTCTCACATTATTAAACAAGCCAGCAAAGGACTGGGCTAGGTGTATTTTCAACACCAAAAGTATAGCCGGTGACTCCTTACTATGTTAATTTATGCACGAGGTAATTACCTTACCTTTGTTATATTGGGTTAGCCTGTTTTTGGGTCATTTTGGAAAATGACAACTGTTAGTGGAATTCGCAAATATTGCATTTCAACTATTTGTGTTATGTCAGTGTAATATGTCTTTTGTGCCCACAGATGAAAAATGCAAGTTATAATCTGGACCCATATATCCAGGAATTTGGGATCAAAGTAAAAGATGACATGACAGAAGTCACAGGAAGGGTCCTTCCAGCACCCATTTTACAATATGGAGGACGGGTAAGTTAAAAATGTTACCCTGATCTGTTTTATAGAGTAGCTACAATCTAATGTATAAGGCATGGTATGACATGGTTAATGTCCTTGTAAAACAACTCATATTGGCAAACGCTAACCAGCAATAGTGCAGTGTTGCCCAACAGCAGACTAATCAGCTACTGCAAGAGACAAACTGTTTAAATGTACAGGAGATGCAACAACTGACTGAAGCCCACCAAGCTTCACAACAGCAAGTGAACCCATCTTTACAGCAGCAGATACACACCCAACAGCTACACTTTGATAGTTGGTACAGAGCCTAGCGGATTATTTTAAATCTTTCCTGAGCATCTTTAAGAGGCACTGAATGTGCCAAGCTAGCCGAGGAGCAGTGGACTGATGCGCTAGCACCATTTTTAACAGGGTAGACCCAAAAGGCCTACATTCCTAGGATTATCCTAAACTCAAAGGAGAAATACTAGCCAGGCTCAGGGTTAACCATGGCCATGAGAGCATAGGATGTGTACCCATAGGAACAAGATCCTAATAAGCCAGCTAGGTCCCAGATGTATGATTTGTTCCACCTTTCAAACAAGTGGAGTTACTCAAATCTCAGATTGTGGATCAAGTGGTTACATCGGGTCCTTTGCCCCCAAACTAGTAACCACTGGAATCAGGAAAACTCGGGCAAGACTGTTCCAATGTATAAATATGCTGTCATGGGGGGGGGGGATGGGTTAGACATCTCTGGGTGCCAGATATGAATAGCCCAAAAGGAGTTTCTTCCTTGAGAGTGGAAGGGTATATTAGGTGCTGGAGGTGGCAGGGACTGGGTATGTGACTGCCAATTGCCCCATTTTTCAAGAGTCTATGCAATGTCACATGGGGAAGCATTTGCCACTATTTTCCAAGCCTGTTCTGGCAACACACCTAGGAAATGCTGGAAGGCAGATCTGTCCTATTACAAGAAAAGGACAGTCTTGTCACATTGGTGCATGGCAGTCTGGTGGATCCTGTCAAGTTTGGCTCAGACTGAATTGGAATATTTCATACATGGTGATGTTAAAGACTATCCTACTGCAGATGTCTCAGCTGAGGCACCTAGTCGAACTGTAAAGCATGCCAAGGGTGTGCTTAAGGTCTTGCTACACAGTATAACACTGGGCTGTGAGGCAAAGTAAGTGATGTTATTATTTTGCCTGAACGTGAGGGGGATGTTGATACCCAGTGCCAGATGTACCTGATGACTTACCACTAGCAGTCATATTGGGGAGTCGGAGGAGTGTCAGAAGTAACGGTCATAACTGTGGTCAGGAAAGATTTTGACCTCACAGATGCAAGATGCCAATTTGAAAAATGCATGGAAAACTGTAAAGGTAAAAAAGGGGTATATCAAGACTCAGATGTTAGTCTTGTGTACTGCCATTTTGCAGTATACCATGACCTACGGCATACTGTAAAGTAGCAATAATAGTAAGTTATGGAGCAGCTGGTAGTTATTCAGTCTCAGACTAACATGGTGTTTGATCTAGCCCATTCTAATCTGTTAGGTTGTAATTTATGAGTGAAAAAAACAAAAGAATGGACTGTGCTGCATTTTTTTCTGGCCTACTATTTACAAAGCAATTGAGGTGTATTGTAAATCTTGACCTGAATGTTAAATTATTGCACCCCAACCACATTTCAAAGTATGTTGGTATTCTTGCATATAATTGAGGTCCCTTTAAAGGGGGTGGTTAGGATCTGGTAGGGTCATTTCTAAAGCACATATTGGTAGTTCTTGACTATGCCACCCCATATTCACAAGCAATCACTCTCAAAAACATCTCCTCTAAGATTATAGTGAAATATCAGCTCCACCTATTTTTGTACTGGTATTCTAAAGGAAATTTTGACAGATTAAGAAATCTCTTGCATGTCACAGGTAACAGCTGTTTCAGTTGCTGAAAATGACTTACCTGCACACTTTATTGTACCAACTCCAAATTTATGGACTGGTAGAACGATTTAATAGAACCCTTTATAATAATAACAACCCTGAAAGGTATGATAAAAAGTGATTGATAGAATGGGAAAGTCTGAGATTTCCTGTTACCATACTTAGTGCTAGTTCATGTGTATAGAAAAAGGTGAACTAACACCATACACCCTCCCTATTAACCCCTCTGAGCTGTCAGTGCTGATGCAGCTGGTCCAGTGGTCCGAAGATTAGAAATCCCTGCTCTTCTCTCTTGTCTCTGTGTATCATTTCCAGGACAGATCAGTGGAGTAGAGGGAGCAATGCAGGATTTTTAAATCCCCAAACCAGTCGACCGGCTGCATGGGCACTCACATCTCAGTGCCCACAGAGGTAAATAAAGCATGGACCTGGGTGAGGAAAGGGGAGGGTGTACAGTGTTTCCTGTTTTACAGTTGAAGTCCAGGAATTAAGCTCCTTTGTAAAAAGTGAAGGCACGCTGTAAGTTAAGTCCAAGGAGGTGCAGCAGCATCCCACCAAAGGGAGCAAGTCCATCATGGATAAAAGGAATGAAGAAAAATAAGGAGCTTTTCAGGAGCTTAAAACCGTATTCTATAAGGAACCCGTTTTGCCTACCCAGCAACATCCGTGAAGAATTTCTTGTACAGATGCTTCTGATATTGGACTTGGAGCAGTCTTGTCACAGAAAATAAAGGGGAAGAAAATCCAGCAGCATACCACAGCTGAAAACACATGCAGACAGGAACTAATCCGTAGTGGAAAGTAAGTGTCTGTCAATAATTTGGGCACCAAAGTCATTAATTAGTATTAGCTTTTGGGCTGACAGTTTTGATTGATTACAAACCATTCACCACTACAGTGGATGGCTCAAAGCACAGGTCAGGGACCCAGCATGGGAATGCTAATGGGCTGTCCCGTGCTCACTGTATAAATGTGCTCCATCTGACAGATCTTCGCAGGGGGGTGGCACTGGCTGGTTGGATTGTGGACAGTATGTTTGTCTAGAAACCTACACATGGTGAGGGGTTTCATGGTTTGTGATGTGGAGAAAACACTTTTTTTGTTTTCTCAGAATCTTAATAGGTCCTGTTATGGACACTGGTGTCTGGAGGTTTGGTAGATCTTTGGCTGGAATAAAGCCTCTGATCCATTATCCACATCTTACCGGGTAGCCAGAACTCTTGATTATTCTCACTCTTGCTTAGGGTTCTTTCTAACACTCTCTATTCTGTGGAATCTGCTGTGTGAAAAGATTGGATGCTGACATAACACTAAAAGGTAAAAGTATTTGTTCATTTTGGGAAACCCATTAGGGGACACCCTGTCAGAAACTGACCTATGTTAAGTTAGTGGCTTGGATGACCAGTTGTTTTGTTTGGTACGGTGCTCTAGCTGTATAAAGCCCTCCTGCATTGAAACCATTTGCTTAGTAAATATATAGCAATGTAAAACGTTGTATGGTTTATTCATTAAGTAAGCCTGTTTACATTGTTGTGATTAAACTGAGAATAAACAAGATCAAATCACAGCTTAGTCACACATACAATAATGCAGCCAAATCCTAAAGGTTCAGAAACTTAATTATATAGTACAGGATATAGGAGCTGATTCTTAAACCATGAGTTATATGCCCATCACCTCCAGGTGATTGGCCACTGGCAAAAACTTTGCAAGAAACCACCCCCCAGTGTACCCATATAACTCCACACACTCCATGAGCCTCCATTTTTTACTAGTGTCCTTAAGTGATGGACCCCTTCTCCTATTGGAGATGGATTGCCTTATAGCACAGTAGCTGTTTTCAGATTGATTACCCTCAATGTACATCTTGGAAACCATACCTGGAATCTGGAACAGCACGGCCTGCCTCTATTCGCTTCGGATACTGGATCCTGAATTCGGCACTCACCTTGGTACCTGATGAAACAAGTGAATTATCTGTACCTGCTCCTGTATGCCCACTGTGACGGCCAAAGCCTGGCCCAGGATCGGACCAGCTACATAAAGTAGAACAGGGTTCCCCTGTACTTTTTACATACTGATTCCTGGTTACACATATTTTATAGGATTATTACCTGGATATGTAGCAGATACCACACTATATTCTTTTATCCTGCAAGACATACTGCAGTGCTAAACACATAAGCGGTTATGAAAGCATAGGTTATGGGGTAATCTATACTTTATCATAACTATTGTTGTCACACTTACCTTGCCTTATAGCAAATGTTAATAAAAAGGTGGCCTTTTCTTCCGCCTCCCAACTGGATGTTACTCTCTGCCTAGTGATGTTGTGCTCACTAGAACCCTGACTGCAACCTTTCAGTTTCCATTTTTGCTGATGATGCAAGGCAATTGTTTGCCATCTCACCTGTTGCCTAATACCTGAGAGACACAATTACAGGAACTCAGGCCCTGGGTTATTGTGATTCCTTCATACTGAACCCACTCAATCCATATACATTTTGTGAGTACTCCACAGGGGAAGATCCGCACTTATCATTGGTGGATTGGGTGCGCCCTGGAGCTGGAACAAATGGCAAATACAGCAGGGTTTCCACTGCAGGCCCTAAGTAAACTCCAAATTCCTCCCAGGTTGATAGCAGTTCTCTTCATCCAAGACATTGTCTTACACTGACACCGTTTTTAGCCCCCTAAATCGGGCTCCCTCACAAATGCAAAACATGCAGCCTAAGTCAGAATTGTCTGCCACTATATCTGATCTATTCCAGAGGCTATTGCCACTTTTGGAATCGGCGGATGCTAACATCCGTAAATGTTCTTTTGCTTATCTACCTCCTAATTATCTTCAGACTTTACAATCTGAACTGTTTAGTGCACTTACAGTGGATATAAAAAGTCTGCACGCCCCTGTTATAGTGTCATGTTTCTGTGATGTAAAAAAAATGAGACAAAACGTAAAACATTTCAGAACTTTTTCCACCTTTTAATGTAACTCAGTTGAATAAAAACTAAAATCTTTTAGGTGGAGGGAAGTAAAAATAAACTAAAATAATATGGTTGCATAAGTGTGCGCATCCTTAAACTAATACTTTGTTGAAGCACCTTTTGATTTTATTACAGCACTCAGTCTTTTTGGGTATGAGTCTTATCAGAATAGCACATCTTGACTTGGCAATATCTGCCCACTCTTCCTTGCAAAAACACTCTAAATCTGTCAGATTGCGAGGGCATCTCCTGTGCAGAGCCCTCTTCAGATCACCCCACAGATTTTCGATCGGATTCAGGTTTGGGCTCTGGCTGGCCCATTCCAAAACTTTAATCATCTTCTGTTGAAACCATTCCTTTGTTAATTTGGATGTATGCTTTGGGTCGTTGTCATGCTGAAAGATGAAGTTCCTCTTCATGTTCAGCTTTCTAGCAGAAGACTCAAGGTTTTGTGCCAGTATTAACTGGTATTTGGAACTGTTCATAATTCCCTCTACCTTGACTAAGGCCCTAGTTCCAGCTGAAGAGAAATAGCCCCAAATCATGATGCTGCCCCTGCTATGCTTCACTGTGGGCATAGTATTCTTTTGGTGATGTGCAGTGTTGGTTTTACACCAAACATTTCTTTTGGAATTTATGGTCAAAAAGTTCAACCTTGGTTTCATCAGACCATAACACATTTTCCCACATGCTTTTGGTAGACTTCGGATGTGTTTTTGCAAAATTTAGCCAGGCTTGGATGTTTTTCTTTGTAAGGAAAGTCTTCCAACTTGCCACTCTACTCCATTGCCCAGACATATGAAGAATACAGGAGATTGTTGTCACATGTACCATACAGCCAGTACTTGCCAGATATTCCTGTAGCTCCTTTAATGTTGCTGTAGGCCTCTCAACAGCCTCCCAGAACAGTTTTTTTTTTTTTCATCTTTTTATCCATTTTGGAGGGACATCCAGTTCTTGGTAATATCACTGTTGCACCATGATGACTGTCTTCACTGTGTTCCATGGTATAATGCCTTGGAAATTCTTTTGTACCCTTCTCCTGACTGATTCCTTTTAACAATGAGATCCCTCTGATGCTTTGGAAGCTCTCGGCGGACCATAACTTTTCCTGTAGGATGCTACTAAGAAAATGTCAGGGAAGGCCTACTAGAACAGTTGAACTTTATTTGGGATTAATCAGAGGCACTTTAAATTATTGTAAGTGTGTAACTGACTCCTATTTAACATGATTTTGAATGTGATTGCTTAATTCTGAACACAGCTACATTCCCCAGTTGTAAGAGGGTGTGCACACTTATGCAACCACATTATTTTAGTTTTTTATGTTTACTCCCCCTAAAAGATTTCAGTTTGTTTTTCAATTGATTTGTACAGTTTATAGGTCACATTAAAGGTGGAAAAAGTTCTGAAATTATTTTTGTCTAATTTTTTTACATCACAGAAACCTGACATTTTGACAGGGGTGTGTAGACTTTTTATATCCACTGTACGTTTTCAGAAGGCAAGGAGGATGCTGACATTTTGATTGAGGCCGTGGAAAATTTTTCACCAGAATTTTGTGAAGTTACTTCATCTTCTTGCCACTGTGGAGTCACTGATTTGAAGCAGTGCATTCTAGTCTCTGGATAGATATCCCTTAGGCTGCCCTTCCTGGGGGCCCCTTTTCTTCTTATGCTAAATGGGGACAAAGTATCCTGGAGACCAGTTTTTTTATTTCTTCTTTTATCTCCTTCCATGGAAATGTCATTCTCCTTCCCATGTCCTGCCTTGAAGGCATGTCAAACACTTATTGGCATTATGGGTGTGTCAGAACTGTCATTTGTGTCTATGTGCCAAGTATTTCCTTGCCAACTGACCCCTCTTCTATTCCTCACAGGGTTGTACCTCTGTGGGATTCGTCCATCCTTTTCTACCTTGCTGGGTGGTTATTTAGTTCTTTTTCCAGGGCTTCTGCCCACAGAGAGGATGTTCCTATTTCCCTACCAGGACCCATTCCCAAAGATGTTGGGGTTCTTGATTTCATTACAGCATTTGGCATTTGTCCTTCTCAAGCATCACAAGACCATCACCTGGTTTTCTGTTCAGTTTCAAAACTGTTTTTGACAGGTGGCTGTTTGAGCCTCTGCTGATCACTGCTTCGGCTCTGTGGAGTCTCACGGAGTGGGTGCAAGTCATATGGGTACATTGGAGGTGGTTTCCAGTAAAGCTTATGGCAGTGTCCAATCACCAGAAGGTAGCACCATAGAATCTATGGTATAAGAATCAACTCCTGTGTCCAGTACTGTACTCCATGATATGGATTTTACAGGTATGTCAAAATGCCTATTTTCACAGCTCAAGGTGCATACACTATATGGCCAAACGTTTGTAGACACTTGATCATTATATGCTAAAAGTATATGGGCACTTTTCAAAATAATTTAGCTCAGGCATTTCAGTTCATGGGTACTATATATAAAAAATCCTTTTTAGAAAAATATGCACTTTATGCAAGGTTGCTGCAGCAGCAGATTTGAGGAAAGCTCTCTTCTGTTCCAGTGTGTGCCCCTGTGCAAAATTCCATTTACATAGAAACATGGTTTAATATGGAATCCAAGTACCTGAACAGAGCCCTGACCTCAAACCTATTAATTTCCTTATTGGTGAATTGGAACACCAGTTGAGAACCAGCTCTTCTGGTCCCACATCAATACCTGACCTCACAAATGTTCTCTTATGGAAAACCTTAAAAGAAGAGAGGCTGTTATGGCTGCAAGGCCAAGGCTGCTTCTATATTAAAGCCATAATTTTGATTTAGAATGTCCAACAAACTCGTATACAATGGATGGGATGGCCAGATGTCCACAAACGTTTGCCCATAAAAGGTATATTTGTTATCCATCTGCGTATAGATGATGTTTTAGTTAGAATATAATGTGTGTGTGTGTGTTCTTGAGTGCACTGTGCGTATTTGATTTTATGCTTGATGCGATTTACAGTACAGTTGTGACCCTTTTTTCACAATGAGCCTTCATCATACTGAGCTAGGGTAGTAAATAATACACAATATTTGTTTTTTCTTCTCTTAGAATAGAGCTATTGCAACTCCAAACCAAGGAGTGTGGGACATGAGAGGAAAGCAGTTCTACAATGGCATTGAGATCAAAGTTTGGGCCATTGCTTGCTTTGCTCCGCAGAAACAATGCCGGGAAGAAGTGCTAAAGTGAGTGGGAACATGATGCAGGAGGTAGAAAGGTTTTCTGAAAATTGTGTCTAAGAAGAACTCAGACCTGATTGAATATCAATATACTGCTTCAAATTAGCTATTTCTTACAATATCAAAGCAGCTAATGTGCAGTTAAGTCTCCACAACATACTGATTAAAAACGCTTCTACAGGAATCTTATATTGTATCATGGATGTTGACTCCTCTTCTGGTTTAGACCTGCTTAGCAATGAAATACTGAGGAAAAGGAGAGGATATATGCAGAAGCTAATATTTAAAGAAGTATCACTACAAATGAGAAATCATTTTTAACCCCCGAGTGGGCCTAGTGCATGCATCCCTTTGTCCCATTCCAGTTCGTGCTGTAGTTGCTGAGCTAGGTGCTGCAAGCTAGTAGATGTACTTTGTGAGTGACAGCACACATTGTCTCTTGCAGCAGGGGCCACTCTAGAGATGAGCACTATTGTTCATTGTAGTATAAGAGAGCCTGTCAGCCCAAGGCCATCATCATATTCTCCTTGTGCATGTTACATTGTGTCTGCCTGCAAAATAAAAAGTGAATTAGCAGCGCTTGGGCTTATAGTTCCTCCCGACACTGCTGTTTCATCTGCAGCTGTCGGAGACAACAGAGGAAAGGAACGATATAGTTGATGGAGGAGCCATTAGTGTCAAGCTGGTCAAGAAAAGTGAGCGCTGGTGAAAACAAAAGAGAGATGTGATCAAGGGCAAAGAGAAGCCAACAGGTGAGGCTTTACACAGGCAGAGGGCACATACACCAATCTTGTTCATGTGTACAAGTTCGGTGTCTGTACAGTTCACATCACTAATCTGCACTGCACTTTTTGTGTACTGTATTACTTACTTATATATAGATTACCTGTTCATAGAGGCTGGGTAATCTCTGTTGTCAGTTAATCTAGAACAATCCTGCTGTTCTTCTTTACCCAATCAGGCACATTACTCAGAATAAGAAACACATTACACAGAGGAGAGGGGACGAGGTCTCAGTGCTGGCTGTAACTTCCCCTTTGGATTGCCCATAACCAGACATTCATCTTGGTGTGGAGCTACAGCCAGCACTTTTTTTTTTTTTTAATCTCTTGCCAAGTGTATAGATCTATGCAGGACCGAGTGCTACATACCCTGGGTCCTTTGGGGAATTAAATTCATATATGAGTGGATGGTTTACATCAATCCCCAGATCAAATGTATCTTTTTAAAAACATTTTTTCTTTCTTACAGCTATTAAAATAACATGTTAAAAACGAGTGCTCAGATTTTTTTTTTTTTTTTTTTTTGCAACATTTCTTGGGCACTATGCTCTTTTTTTTCAGAGATAGTCAATTATATAGGAGAGGTTTGTCCTTAAAACATAACACCAGTTATACAGCTAAATACAAAGATGAAATCCAGGTAAGGAAGCTGTTTTACCTGCCATTCCATCCGCCAGTGCCGCCATCTTTTACACAAAGTATTCCAGGTCCCATATTGCTAATCTCCTCCTCCTGGGCGTCCAGCTTTGCTGTAACTCCTGGCCATGGCTTCGGGCTGCATTCCTGGCATCTGACAGATTCAGGGGATGCGCCCTCATATACACTGCACTGTGCATGTGCTGCAGACAGTGTACACTAGTTTAAAACTGACTAGGAGAAAGAAGGAAAACTGCATATCCTAGCAATTTAAACTCGTATACTTTTTCAATTGTTTGACAGATATAACATACACAAAACCGATAACAGTTATACAAATAATGGAAACGTGTGCTAAAGCATCATTTAAATTTAATGGTACCAACATCCAAAGCTTGTTATACAAAGAAATTGTTGATTGAGGCAAAAACAGGACTTTCATGGTATCATCATGGACATTACAAAATTGAATTAAAATCAAAAGTAGTTTTATTACAATATTAAAATACAAACATGTATAAGACATGTACCAATAGCATACCATACAATACTCATAAATCTCTCATAAAGGGACTAATATCACTAAAAACTAGTACTAACTAGTACAGAGCACTAGGAAATACAGTCTAAAGCATGAAGATTAGCCAGTTCTCAACATGTTTTGCAGTTCTTTTCCTTCTTCAGGAGTAATTAGAGAGAGCAGAACATTATTATTATTATTATTATTATTATTATTATATACAGTATTTATATAGCGCCAAAGGGTTTGCTCAGCGCTGTACAATAGCAAGGGGGACAGAACATGAGACAAGACAGAAACAATACAATACACGAGGGGTTCTTTCTAGCTTAGGAGAACATCTGAAAAAATGAATGGATACAACATAATATATGCATATAACAATATACAAAATATGCATAAACCCACTTTATCAATGGAGCATCTAGGCTTGCCCAGGGAGCCCAGACAGGAAACAAGGTATTGAAGCACACCAGGATCTTTTATCTGTATAACAGATGCATATTCATGTTGATCCTACCAGAAATCTTGGCAGTTGACAACTTTCCCCGTATTATGAAAAGGGGGTGCTTCCCTCCATAGTAACATTACAGAAAGCGAGTCACCCAAGGACAGAAGGTGTGTTATTGGCAAGAACACCATGTAATACTAAAGGTTAACAAAAATCTGCAATATCTTACATTTTTGTATCTGTCTTTAAGTAACACTTATAGATTCTTTTCCATCCCCAGCCTGTAGCTAGAATGCAAAAGGAGAAGCAGAAGACAACTGAGCTAATCTCTGTCACTCTGCTCTCTTAATCTATCATCATGTATCTTGTTAGCACATGAACAGTGCAGCAAACTGGCTGTCTCCTTGTACCTCTTCCTAACCTTTCAGCCTGAGCTCTGCTGTACAGTGATGGCAAAAACGCTGATCCTGAGTCAAAATTCAGGTAATTGCCTGCAATTTAAAAAATACATTTATTGATGTATTAATAAAGAGACCCACATTTGTCTTTTATATCTGCCTGGAGTTCAGATTTAAATATAAACTCAGTTTTCTTAACCGGTCATGTTTAGCTGCAATTTCCAGTTTCAGTTGGAGGACCATGCCTCTGACAAACCCAGTAGGGAACATGTATGTTAAAACATTAACCAACCAGTGTATCTGAAGGAACTGAAGGAAAATTGCTGGAAAATATTTAGCCAGTGGGAGCCATTCACAATTTGTCATCCCTAGGGTTGTAATATGTGAACATAAAAAACATATCATAATAAGCCAGAATGTCAGTTTTGTTTTATTCTTTCTTTTAATTTTCCCAGGAATTTTACAGACCAACTAAGGAAGATTTCAAAGGATGCAGGGATGCCGATCCAGGGTCAGCCATGTTTCTGTAAATACGCACAGGGTGCAGACAGTGTTGAGCCAATGTTCAGACAGGCACCTCAAAAACACTTACTCTGGACTCCAACTCATTATTGTCATACTGCCAGGAAAAACACCAGTATATGGTAAGAGATTTGAAAAATGTGGTTAAAATGTATCATGCCCAGATTCCTAGTGTTTTCTATATGTCTTCATTTTATATTCCACATTGTGAGGAAAAAATGTTACCTGAATTCTAAAGTGAGGGTTTCATGTCAAAGAATGATCTGCCCACTGCAGAAATCTTTTCACCCTTTCAGATAATAGCAAGACCAAATGAACATAACTGCATTCTTAAATAATTGTGACTATTAATAGCATACATTCTTTTCTGCTGCTGCTCTTTGAAGCTTTTCATTATATAGGGTGACACTTTGCATGTCTGGTCAGTATACACATGACAAATACTGACAAAATTCTTTATTTGTAGAAGTGGTGTGCCAGATTAGAGAATTCCTTGTTTTTTTTGGTATATGTCAACAATTGTAATAAGTTCAGAAAAGTGAAGAGAATCAGGAGCAATGGTTATGGATCTCTTCAATGATACTGATCTTTTTCTGTATGAACTACTCAGAAAAATATTGTTTAGCAGACAAATGTTCTCGGTAGGAGTAGAATTTACCAATTGTAATAAAAAAAAAAAAGACTGCAGTGTCACTGGAGAGAAACCATTGAGTCAACAGCATAGCAAGGGGTTCTTGTAAGGCTGCTGAGACTTAGATATTTTTGCATACATAGGGTGATGTACAGCAATATCAGTAGAACAAAATGTAAAAAAAAGCACATTAGCTATAATTATTATTATTATTACAGGTACTTGTATAGCTCCGTCAATTTACGCAGCGCTTTACATATATATTGTACATTCACATCAGTCCCTAACCCTCAAGGGGTATACAATCTAAGGTCCCTAACTTACATTCACATACTAGGGCCAATTTAGACAGGAACCAGTTCACCTACTAGCATGTCTTTGGAGTGTGGCAGGAAACCGGAGTACCCAGAGGAAACCCACGCGCAGGCACAGGGAGAATATGCAAACTCCAGGAAGGTGGTGCCGTGGCTGGGATTCGAACCAACAACCCTAGTACTGCCAGGCGGAAGTGCTAACCATTTAGCCACTGTGCTGCCCAATTAAAGTTATTTTCTTTCTCAACCATTGAGGGACGCAGGAAGTCATATACTGTTAAGGGTATATTGCCACCTACAATTCCATTGGATGCTGGCAAACAAAAAAAAAAAGTGTAGTCCACATCCTAACAACGCCGCCTCTACACAGAATTTCTCAGTGCCCTAGGAGAACAAAGCACTGCTTCAACTGGTATCTATATGGCAGCTATCAATATTGAATTTTTCTCTGCCTAATGCTGTACCCTGACAGTGTTTGACTAGACAAGTGGAGCAAGCATGGACCTTCAAAGCACAGTGTTTCGTGTTAGATGTTTTCCAGACTCCGTTGTGGTAACATATTGGCTACTGTCCTTTCTAGGTCCAGAGTCGTTGGCACTGCCTCAGCGCTTGCCCTGTCTCTTAAGACTTACTATTTTAGTAGGCTGATCAGACTGAGCACTGGGAGCTACCAGGGGATCACAGCAGAGAGATGACGGCATGCACATTGGCTCTCTAGCCCAGTCTGTGAGCATGTGCCGATCTGGACTTTCATATGGACATTGCCTTTGATGGACATTGCATTATCCGGCCATTGAGAGCGTTAGTACGACCATCTACTGTCTTCATATGGTGAAATCATTTCACTTTACTACTGTGCTGGTACAAGATTCCTTCACTAAGGTTTATAGGCATACAGAGTCAATCAGCTACCTGCCATTGGTAGGCTGGACCTGGATTGTGCCTGTCAGATTACCAACCTGCAAGGTTTTGGATATGTGCTGAGGAGATAAAGCTTAGTGGCATACCTACATCAGCTACGAACTGTACTATACACATTTGGAGGAATTCAGGTTGCCCTTCTGTTGCTCTCCCCTCTTGTTTTGAAGCCACATTCAGCGCTATAATTTTGGAATTTTTCCATACAGTCGGATTTATATGTCCATACGCACTATTTTTATACAGGCACTGCCAGAGAGGGACTTCTGGAGGACTCTTATCCACTCTAGGGGGATTATAGGGAGGGGTGGGAGGTCAGTCCTTGGTGCTCTGGTTTAGGAAGGGAGGGTTTGTGGGGGTGCTAGGGTTGCATGGGATTATAGTGGGGATAATTGGTAGTTGGTGGAGTGCTGGGAGGGGGTGAATAGGAACAGGGTATGATTTTATGATATGTATTGCGAATTTGGTTTATGTCCTTAATAAATTAATATTGCTGATTTAACCTTTGAGGCGCTATATCCTTTTTTTAGGGGGTTTTCAGTAGTGCATTGATTTTGAATGCACCTCCCCTTTTATTCAGGGTTAGGCATCGGCATACATACCATTCCTGGGACTAGGTCTTTGGCCATAGGGGTGTCTTTACATATAAGCAGGTCACCCTGGCGAATGATGCAGGCTCACCTGAAGTGCGAGATCTAAGCACTAATCAGTATTTGCTAGTTCCCCTGATGCTGGAGATAGACTTTTCTGCGTGTTAGTACCAGCTCGGGGCCTTTGGGATCACCCCACCAGGAGGTTAGTAAGCCAGGGTCTGTTAGCAGGTAGGAACCAAGCAAAAGCCTAGTCGGTAAACAAAGCCAAACATCGGTAACAGTTGGTTGCAGGTTGGAATCAAGCAGAAGCGTAGTCGAGCAGCAGCCCGAAGGTCAGTAATGAGCGCTAACGAAGATGTGGATGGTAGCAGGACTGACAAGAGTGAGATATTGGCTGGAGAGAGCACAATAGTCTGGCAAACAGGAAGTACAAAGACATGAGCTAAAGAAGAAGCTCATGGGAGGATCAAGGAGTTCAAGGTTCAGCGTAAACAAGGGACAAGGCAGGATTGTCCAGTGGATCAGACAGGGTGCTGTCCAGTATCTCAGGTGGCTCAACAAGAAGAGACATTACCAGACACAGCAGAGGTCACGGGTCACTTCGTAGGATTCCTGACTGGTCAGGTCTTCTGGTTTGAACACCCTTCGACACGATCTATTTACTGCTGTGTCTTCACCATCTAGAAGTAACAGGAGTCCTATTTGTATTAGAAGTGGTATTCTGGTTCCAGTTTTGGACAGTACCTTTGGTCTTAGTCATTCTCATGCTGATCTCTTTAAATGACAATCTTATGATATCTATTTCTTTCCAACTGGTGGCTTCTGGACATGGAGGAGAGTTTCATGTACTAAGGTGAATCTCAGACCCCAAGTTGCAGGTAAAAGACATTAAAATCGGGTCCCCTGTCTTTATGGTTTGTCTGTGAGCTAAACAATATAGTTAACTGCTGCTGGTTTTTTGTCTGGAACATGGAATGTCTTCACGACTCCATTGAACCTGTTCACCTGGAGTTAGGCTTATTTTCCTTGGATGTTTCTCAGATTTGTGAACAAGGCCTTTCTGACACTGTTCCCTGTTCTGGTTTTCTTCAGGTAAGTTTATTTGCATCCTCTTCCTTGTTCCACAGAAAATGCTGCTTAATTGGATCAGGGTATTCGTAGTCCTGTGACTGTTGAAATCAAGGAGAGGCAGGGTTATTTTTCTGCAGCATTCCTCTTGGGGGTTGCCCCGTAGGTGTCTTTTGTGTACTGGTGAGTGTGCTTCGCTTACTCTGCAGCTCCACAGTTATAACCCATCTAATCAGCTAGGTTAGGTTCTGACTTTCATCTTATGCCTATCCTTGTTGGGGTCTTTTTCTTTTCACCTTCTTCAGTCAAGCTAATTTCATGGGATTGATTCGTGGGTTTTCTACTGGACTTATAAGTCATTTTTACGCGCTTTGCAGGCTGCGGTCATAGTCCATTTCAGAGTTCTTCCCTGGTAAGTCTCGCCTTTGTTAGGTGACTGTTTTGATATTCTCTCAAGCAACAGACTTGTTTCCTGACTCTTATTGGGTCAGGGAGTAGAGACTTCTGGCCTTCATACCTTACAGGAATTTTTTGCTTGTTCCATCTCTTGGTGAGTTCAGGTTGTCTAACTTCTCACTTGGTGTATGGTCCATGCTTCCTTCTGTGTTTAAACCTTGCTGTCTGGATGGTGACCATTTCTTCTTGGTCTTGAGCATCAGGTTGATTCTCAGTGTCCTCCCTCTAGTGATGTTGGCAGTTTACCCTATTATGGAGGGAGTTCAGCCTCATTCAGTTTTAGATTCCGGCCTTTGTCCTTCAGGTGGCTTTTTGATTGCAGGCAGCCCCAAAAATATATAACTTCTTGTGTCTCTCAGGGAAAGGAAGAAAAGTGGATTTTTGTACATTGAGAGACACAGGCCTCATCAATTTGTGTTTATGATCTTGGTGCTGCTTGCTACAAACTGAGGCAAAATTCCAATGCTGGCCTGCAGATTTTTGTGTTTTTCCATTTCCAATCTATTCCCTAATGTCAGTTGCCCTACTGTGTGTTTTCTTCTTGATCAACAGAACTAAATTAAAATATATTAAACTTCATTAACTTATGCCTCTTTATTATTACTATTGAAAGGGATTTGTGCCTCTAATGACCACTGGTAAGTTTCGGCCCCCCCGTTGGGCCCAAGAGACTGCTCTCTGGAAGAACGAAATCCACACATGCACACCAGCTTCCAAAGAACAGTCTAATCTTTATTCATAATATTCCTCCTTATATATGATAAATTGTAACAGAGAATCATAGAATGGGATTTCACTGGATACTTGTCAAGGCTGTGTACGTGAACAATTTAGGTTTCTCAGACCTTGAATCAGTTCCAAGAAACCAACAGTTATTTTCCCATGGAGCAGAAGTGGTTAACTTTTAACTGTATCATAGTAGAAACAAATGCTGTTCAAAGAAATAACTGGATACTTTCCCTGCCTCTACCAAGGCTAAGCTAAGATAAAAAACAAAAGAATGTGTGAGCACAGTTCTGTAACACATAAACTGACACAGCATATTTTCATTAACTCATTCTGGGTATAATATAAAACAATTAATCAACATGTGAAACAGAAAACAAAAAAGTGAGCGCTTTTAAAATGGACAAGCAGCTGAA